AATTCTAAACAAAGTCATATATATCAAATATCACTTATATTTATATAAATATACAAAGATCCAAAGAGAAACTATAGTTAAACAAGCGGTGCCACGTAAGTTTTCAAAGTGAATTTTCTTGAAGAGGAAGTTAAATACTAAAAACCGTAATCCATACTTCCAACTTCATCACACCAGACGATACTTCGAACTTTTTATTTGAAGTTCAGGTAAAAAGTTCAAAGTATAGTCTGGTATATTAACGTAACACTGTTACCTATACGCTTGTGTCGCCAGTTATGTAACATTCGATACAACGTGTTTGTACACCTTTTGAAAAGAGTAAGTTGAAGGAAACTGGTTGTGAAAGAATTTTGTTTGACGGAACTGGAACAAAAATGATATTCCAATAAAATTTGATTGTATGCATGCGTTGTTCAAATAATTTCTTTCAATATAGTTCTTTGTTAAATTTAATGTTCACTTCAAGGTTGTTATTCTTAACTAGTACAAAGTAATAAACGAAACAATAAACAGGTTTGAAATATATAAACAACAATTTTGAGTGTAGAAAGCATGAATATAAATTTGATTTGAAAGAGAACATAACCCTATCTTCATAAAGCTTAATGTACAAATTACTTCAGAATCTTGATTCTTATGTGGTTTCACGTAAGTGAGATACCGTTCAGATTACTTTAATTATTCGCAGCTAGTTTTCTTGCCATCGAACATATATTTAATAAAATTTAATGAAATTATTTTATCAGTTACCGTGATTAGTTTCACGACGTAATTCTCGCAACCTTGCTAATCTCTTTTTTAAAGATACGTAATTAGTATCACGTCGTGAAACAGGTGGCTGGTAAACTTGAAAAATACTGATTCTTTTAAACGAGAAAAAGTCTAGAAAATGTTCTCGAGCTCCCTCTGCACGGATACTGCTTCTTTTAGAGAAATAAAAATACTTCTCAACTTGATTCTCGCTTATGTTGTAAGTATTACTTTAACGTATCCAACATCTGCACTCGACAAAGCAAATTACTTGTATAACGCCCAAAGTCATGGTAAAAGCAATAATTAACAAATTACTTCTCCGGGCTACGTACTCACAAAGTACTGTTAATTAAAACAGCAGTGTCGCATTGCGTCGTCCTTTCCGATCGCAAATATATCTCTATACTATAAAATCTTTATATTCATTATCAGTTTCAATGAAACCCTTTCTTTCCATTGTGACACTGCAAAATAAACGATCAATATGAGTTTCTAGAAAGTTATTATATTATATAAAAGTTTGATGCTTTTTTGAAAATATTTACTTAACTGTTTTTATTATTTTTGTTGCGGTAGTTTCTTAATATATCTATCATACTTTTGATATTCATTCATTATTGTCTTTTATTGCTTTGACTTTTATATTGCTGTTGAATTTTATATTTGTGTAACAGTAAAGGGCAATATTTTTATATTGAAATATTTAATACTAAAACTAGTTATATTTCTTTTATCCTCTTTTAAATTTTAGGAATTGTTAATAAAAAAATCGTTAATAGAAAAATACGTATCACTTGAAATTAAAAATCGAGCTTGCTTCAAAATTTTTTGAATTTTATTTACAGAAATAAAATATTGGATAGATGTTCTAGTTATTGGATTTCCAATATCTCTTTTTTATGAATTTATATTGCTGCTTTTGTACTGTTTCCACGAAAAGTTCTCAAATATTGTACTACTCTCCTAATAAATAAAATATTATGTTTTTCCTTATAATTTAAGAATTGTTAACGTTTTTATAAACATTTTTATTATTTTTTATGTGTGCGATTATTTAAATAATGAGAAGAAAAAATTCTGTTTACTCTCCATTGTATGATATTAAATTGTTATAAGAAAGCTTTAGAATTTTCAGATGATAACCAGGAAAAACTTGATGCAGAAAAACTTTTTGTATTACAAATTTATTTAAAGACAAAAATTCTTTGCTTCCAAAAAGTCACAAGATTATATAAAGATAAAATATTGAATTGTAATAATAAAAGATAAGAAATGTTTTCGATGATTTATACAGTGATAAATTATTCAGTTCATTCAAAGATTTTTATTGAACATATTTACATGTCTAATTACATTAGAAAATTAATTTTAAAGCAACCAAGAAACATCGTTTAAATGCCAATTTCTGAGCAATTATTAATTTACTGAATTATTCTTCATACTAGCAATTTTCATTCCATTTTAAAATTGTTTCTTTTTTTTTCCTAAAAAATCTCTCTCAACCCTTAAAAATTGGATCAATATCACATACAAGTATTCGAAAGTAAGCAAAATGAAGAATTCATAAAAAGTGAGGTTAGGAAGGAATTGATCCTTCGTAACCTAAAATATAAACTTTTGCAACTTAAATTATGAACAATGAACTGCTTTTATAAATGGTTATTCACACTGTATTAATAAAAGATTGCCCACTCAACAAAAAGATACGATTACTTTGAACAACAGTACAAACGCGTGCGAAGCATATACGTAAACATATATTTGCGACAGCCGTAGCATTAAAATGCTATAGATTATAAGACGTTTATTTTGAAAGTGGACTGAATCCATTTATGTTTAAATTGAGATCTTTAAGAGTTTGCGTTTCAATGAAATTAAAAATATACGTATAGGATACCAATGTATCACACTCCTGAAGTATCTTAAAGATTGTTAAACTTACATTTCCCATTATAATAATAGCAATTAGTAAATAAATAATATACGTCTCCTTACCAAGAGTGGACTTAAGTAACTTTCAAAATCAATTTTTCACCTATCAAAATAACTACGAAAATATATATGTTTAATATGATCATGTACTCTGAATATATTTAACCGTAAAATAATTTTTATGGCACTTAGCATCAAGTGGTATATGTTTCTACAGTTAACCACAAACAATTAATAAATGGACATAGGCCATTTTCAAAATAAACGGATCATATCAAAGGTGTTAAGTATCATGAGAACCTCCGTTTCTTTTGTAACTACTTTTTCGCAGCGGCAAACATAAATCAGAATTTCAGGAGGTTTTTCTACTCGTGTTGGCCGGTATTTAAAGTTAAGCCCCGCGCAAGGATTCACGGAAAATTAACTTAATCCGACTGGTGGTCGTTATATTATGGTATCAGTGTAAAACGAGTATGGAGATTCTCTTTAATTGCGCCCTGTAATCGAGCTTCCTTAAGTGTAGTGCCTTTCGAAACGCTAAGTAATCCTTTCCGTCCTACAAACGTTTGTACTTACACTCCGTGTCAATGTGGTCAACGAGTACTGTCATAATTTTCAACTCGAACATAAATCTCTATTACGAAGCTGCCACGTTGTAACAGAAATAGTGAATCAAATTTTAACTGAGGTACTTTTCTTGCATGATAGTATTCAAATTTTGCAATTAAAATGTTTAGAAATTTGCTTCGTAATTTTATGAATTTGTAGATATAGAAATTACAAATTTGTAAATCAAGAAATTGACAAATTTTTAAATTGCAAAAGTAAGTATCCACTGATTATCATTACTGATCTAGCTGATTTCTTATTAAGAATTTTTATACGATGTTTATTATTTTATTATCATTTCTTTAAAATGTTAACAGATATACATAATAATATTTAAGTACCAATGATGTATTAAAAAGATTAGTTGCCATAAAATAGAGTTCTCTGCTCACAATTGACTACATTTAAAATTGTGAAGAAAGAACGTTTCGGGAGAAATAATGAAACTCATTGATACACATAACTTACCAGATACACGCAGTACGTTTTAAATTATAACACAAAAACGTTACTTATAATGTGTTGAAAAACTAATATATTGTAGAAGAATGTAACACGATTACTGATATTTACTTATACAAATAAAAGGTAGTGAAACAAGCAAGTGACTTTCCATCAACAGTTCAATAAGCGACTCGAGAGATTTCTAGCTGATCTTATCCTCTTGCAATATTTTACTTACTTTATGGCATATTACAAGTTACATGAAGAATAGCATCCACGATTGCCTCATTTGTTAAATTTACCAACGATCTAACTTCTGAATTTGACTACCGTGCTTTAAATTAATTCCCAGACTTTCTGCGTCCTGAAATACGCCATTTAATATGCAGCAACCAAACAATTTCCATGGGTAATTATTGTATCGTGGGATTTGAAGTTCTGGTTACGTCTTTAGCGAAAGGAGTTACCGTAAGGGTACCGTGTCCTTAGGGAATGGAAACTTCGAACCGACAATTGAACATATGACAATCGTATTAATGATTTAGAATTCATGGTTCTGTGTGAACCATGAATCGTTAGTCTCTATTCAAAGGATTGATGCTGTCGTCATCTTCGTCGTTAACTTCGTAGCGAAGTTATATATCGCTGGGCACAGGAGATGCATGCGAATGGTCGATTTTAGCCCACGTCGCCGCCATGACCGCAAATTTCTTCGTTGCAGACGCTTCCAACAGAATATATGAAACGGGTTATAATAATAAATAGAGATATATATACTTATTTATAAACTTAACATTGCTCATTTACGATAACACACTTAATAGACTATTTTGGAAAAGTGATAATTATTGAAAAGATAACTGCATGCTAAAGACAGTATGCAGGATGGCTGTTCCTTTTAGAAGTTACGGATGATACTGATGGTTCGCTCATAGAATGTAAATGGTTGATGGTTTACTGATCGGAGGTTGGTCTACTGAAGATCCAAATATACCAGGTTGTCTTCCTCACGGAAAAGGTATTTAACTTACAAGGAAAAGTTACGACGTGACATTGTATGAGATAAGTATAAGGAAAGTCTAGAATATTATCTGTAAATGACTTAAAATAATCCATAATATGTCTAATCATATATAAGATTCAATGACCTCAAAGTTCTCGTGACATTCACTGTAACACAGAATTATTTATCAAGAGTTGCGATGATTAAATGACGGAGAACCCTTTGTCAAGATAAAATTAAAAGAATCTCATTCTTTGTAATAATATTTATTACTATAAAAGATTAATCATATAAAGTACTGCTTGAAGTTCTGTATAATTCGACATGTCTTTCATTTCATGTTACCCAAAGTCGATTTTGAAATATGACCATATGAATTGACTGTATGACCATTGCTGTTCTCCGATGTGTACATGAAACATTAATACTATAATTGTATCGGCGTTATACTATCAATAGCTTATTTTAAATTGATTTTTAACAGTGCATTTTGGTACAGTATATTACGAATTCGGCCAAACTATGCTTTGTATCCATGGAACGTAATGGTAAACGCGAGTATATATAACGGGAGTAGCACCATCGCAATCTTTTCCCATACTTGTGATACCGATTAAGCTGCACATACGGGGGTGATCGTTGTTAACAGTAAGCAGTGGTCCTCCGGAAGCCTGCAGACAGAATTAAACAAAATTAATAAGCTAACATCAACGTCGTAATAATTTTGTGATTCACTTTAGAGTCCAAGCATTCAATCTGTGAATCAATTCGAAAAGAAACACTACTCTACAACAATGATGCCCTTCATGACACTGTTTCCAATATATAAATGTACTAAAATATATTATAAAGCATTATACCAAACAAATATTTATTTTCTTTTGACCAGCACAAAGTTGCGAATCAGCCATAACACCGGATGGCAATACTTCTTTGTAGGTGTCATTGCATTCTAATAGAGTTACCAATATCGGAATAGCTTTTATTAGTTTTTTTGACACGTTGGGACCTGCAAAAAGAAACGAATAATGAAACTGAACAGTATATTGTAAGCTGTTTTTGAATTTTTCTTATATACCGTAAAAGTAACCAATGCCGTGTCCAATAGCAGTTACTTCAGGTGCAGCGTTATCCGGCAAAGAGTAAGGCAAACAAGCAGGCTTCACTCGCTCGTTGAAATCTATGTCCTTCTCTAACTTGAGAAGGGCAATATCGTGATATTTGCCAAATCCTTTGTATAAGGGGTGTATTATCCTCTCGATAACTCGGATTTGTTGTGCATTTTTGTCGTTGTGTGTCCAGTTTAGATCCGCATCACCTACTCGAACCCAAAAATCTGATACGCCAGTACTGTAACTTAAAATAATTAGAATAAAATAAAATGATAATGTCTCAAAAACTTGAGGGTTTGTTGCTTATCTTTCAAAAGTTCATGACTAATAATAAATTATCGCCTTCTCGTGATCAGTGATTAGCTTTTAAAATAAACTCGATCAACCATTAAAAGATCAGTGATTAATAAACGTTCATGAGCGCTCAGAATTTCCTAGACACTGAAACTTCTGACGAGTACTGTATTTATTATTTCAATTGATAGTAACAATAACTGTTGCTAAGGCAAATTCTATTGTGAAACAACCTCGCAGAGGAGTTGAAAGATAAGTAATCAATGAACGAATGCAACAAATACTAAAATAAATATTTACACGTATCCATAAGTACAATGAGCTGCGGTTAGAACAAATCTTGGGGAAATTACGGTGCCACTGCAAAGGAAGTAAGTGCCATAACCGGGAGTGAAACCAACTGTAGCCACAATCGAAAATTTTTTTGGTCGTGCTTCCGCCAATTTCGAATATTCTTCACATTCTGAAATGATTAGGCTAAAGTACTGATCTTGAAACACATTTTGAGAAAAACCATCCTATTGGTCTGAATACGGAGAATATAGTCACTGTTGTGATATAGTAAGATCATAACTGGACCTCACATACATCGTTCAGTACATTATGCGTTCAGGATTAATTTAAGGTTTCGGTAGGCTCCGAACTATTCCTAATAGGAGATCTGAATCATTTCTTACTGGAAGCTTAACTCTAAAATCGGAGACCTTTAATACGGAGACCCGTGCTACAGACTCACCCAACCCCTCAGCCCTTAACCCCCTTCGACCCTGAATATGTCGAAAATACAGAGTTACAGCTTGTTACTTGTATCGGTACAATTAAGAATGTAACATACTTGCTTTTGCTTTGGCATAGCTTTCGGGCGTAGGTGCTTCTCTTATTGACCGTAAACGATTACTAGTTGCTTCATTTGGACAACACCATATACCATCCTCGGGCACGTTTGCCGCAGGGGTTGTTTGTAACCATTTCTGATAAAGCGATGGACACTGTTTGAGACGTTTATAAACGCCCATTGTTTGATTAGCTACACATGATCTCCCTGTAAATTACGAAAGATTTATACTTCCATTATATAAAGAAAGAAAGTATGTAGGCCTGATTGTTTATTGAGAGAGATTTTGAAATTATTTTTGCTGTAGCAATGTTGTTAGGTAATACTTCAAGATAAATATCGATATTTAATATTAGAGGCGAATAAATAGCGATAGAAACAAATTGTTTACCTTCGATTTGAGCCTCGGTGAGGGTAGAACCAATTATAAGCAGGAAAAGCGGTAATGATAATGTCACGCCTGCGAATAATCGTATCATCATTGTGCGGCGAATCTTTCGTGACTTTCAACTGTGTCATATTCAACTGTGCCTTCGTTTATATTTGATATGTCGCTTCTTCATACCCCTTCCAGCTTCGTTGGTTCAAACAAGAGGCCGTGAGGCAATGCAAATTGATGGGTTTCAGTCGTAAGAAAATAAATTATCACGCTATTATGTATGAACAGGTCAAGCAAGTACATGTAGATAAAGTTTATATTTCTTCGTTAAATAAATCTGAAGTAATATCGAAAATAATTTGTTTTCCTCAGAAAACACATCAACGTTTCACATTTGATTAACAGCTATTAATGTTTATTAAGTGTTGATACAAACAAACAAATGATTCTCCACGATATAAAAAGCATCTGACATTTAGATAGACGAATCGTTTACCTTTTTATTTCAAATTCTGTTTACACTACACATGTTACATTACACTTATTGCTATTTAGATACAATTTAACACATCTCATACAGCATATACTGGTTTTTATTACCACTCATGCTCAATCCTGTACAATACAGTCCTAACTAATTCAGGTCCCTATTATATGAAGTCACTTGCAATTATATATTACATGATATTGTTGGATTTCCCGAATCAGGAATAACTCGTATGGAATACAATAACCAGTTTATTGTTCAATAATATTCCAGGTTAAACCTTAATCTAGTTCTCTAGTTTTAAAAGTTGTTCTATACACGGTGAAGCTCGGATAAAATCTAATGAGAAACGGTGTGGAGACGGAAAATGTAAACTATTGGAAGGAAACTATTGGTTGATATTTTGGATAAGGGTGTGGGAACAGGAAAAGTCATTGGCTAGGTTATTTACGAAGGAAGTGATTTAAAAAAAAGAGTGATTTATTAGGAAATGTGGAAGTGCTTTAGCAAGACCTTGGAAAAATCTTGAAGCTACAGGAAATTCTAAAGAGGCATGTTTTGGTGATATAAGACAGACAGGAAAGCGCAGAAAGTGGACAATAGGGTAAAGGAAATAAAGGAAGAGCCAGATGTAGAAGAGAAAGTCAGACGGTTCGTTAGGATTTCCAACAATATTTTTCATTTTAAAATTCATTATTCATTTCTTAATATAAAATGTTTTTACACTGTTTCATTCCTTATGAAGTTTTCAAAGCGAAATTGTAAAATCCGTATGATATCATATTTCTTTTTGGCTTAAAAATCGTGAAATTATCGAGTGGTATTTTTACACATTCTTGGAAATAAGTGTTCTTGTCTCTTCTGACCGAAGCAACGTATGATAAACAAAGATCGCCTGGATTCATCAATTTTCCTCTACAGTCGCTAAAAATCATACTCGGAGTATTCGGTCACTAAACTTGACCCCTAATACATCTACGAGTGTTTGCCCATGCAAACATTGATGAGTAAACAAGTTCCCGTTTAAAAATTCGCGGACTTGCAAATCGGCAATTCTCAAATTTCTGTATGCATAGATTTAGAATTTTTTAAGGTATATATTTGGAAATTCTATATTTTCCATTTTTGAACAGTAAGAAATTTGATAACACAATCAACTTATAATTCGATAATTTAAAAATTTTATAGAAGAAATGTATCTACATTTTTAACTGCTGTAAGGAAAAAATTCTAAAACTTTTTGGTTGAAGAGTTTGATGAATTCTTTTGTAGTTGTTTCTCTATTATTGTCACCGTTGTGTGTTGTCGACACTGTACTTGTAGTTAAAAAGTATTTATTCAACTTGTACAAACGTAGTTAACCAAATGGTGAGTTTGAGTTGCATTTTGAATGCAAAGGATTAATATTAGGTTGTCCGGAAAGTTCTTTTCGCGTTTGTTGCTCGAGGCTTTACATTGTTGTGTTTAAGTAAACAAACATCCAGATCACTCCAAAATCAATTGTTTGGTCCAGTGTCATTCTCTAGCACTACAAGAGGACTGTTTTCAGCATCAGTAGAAATTGAATCCCGTATTTTTCGCGTTGTGAAAGATGGAAGATCAAAAGATGCATTTGCGTCATGTCATGTTTTACTGTTTTAAAAGAGACATTACGCCTGGAAATACCGCAAAGGAGATTTGTGATGTTTATGGGGATCATTCTATAACTGTTCAAAATGTCCGTAATTGGTTTAGGAGGTTTAAAGCCGGAAATTTCAATCTTAAAGATGAAGTTCGCAGCGGCCGTCCATCCACCACTGATACCGATCTTATCAAGGCCTACCTCGATGAAAAACCAAGGGAAACAATTAACAACGAGAAATATTGCATGCAACTCGAAAAACTTAGGGAAGCTATATTCACAAAACGTCCAAAATTGGTGAATAGACGTGGTGTCGCGTTCCACCATGACAACGCGAGGTCATATATTTCTTTACCTGTGCGAAAGAAACTTTTAGACTTCGATTGGGATGTTCTACCACATCCCCCATACTCTCCAGACATTGCTCGATCGGATTATTATTTGTTGCTTTCCCTAAAAAATTTCTTCGCAATAAAAAATTCACATCAATTAATGAAATAAAAAACGGGCTTGAAGAATATTTTAACAGTAAACCAAGAGAATTTTGGAAAAGTGGCATTATAAGGCTTCCAAAAAGATGGCAGAAAGGTGGTAGAACAGAACGGATTATATATTACTTAAGAATAATACACTGAACGCAAAATATTTCAAACTTAGCACCTATTAAAAAAACGAAAAGAACTTTCCGGACAACCTAATATCTGTAATGCACACACACATTGCAACGCGCTTATGCTCACTTGAGGGTTCTCCGCCCTCCAGATCCACTTTAGCCACCTTTCGGAATTTTTGACAACGTTTCTCTGGTTTTCGGAGCATTTTATAAAAGTTTGATGCTCTGGCAGAAAGTCGTATCTGACACCGTTTGCCCTATACATTCGTATACCTGATTGGAGTGGGGTTTTACAGTATTTTGATAAAAAATAAGCAAACATTAAAGTATAACTAAATATACACACTAATCTTTTATCTCCATAAAAATCAATACAGATTTCAAGAAAAGTATTTCGAAATTTAAAATAAGAAATTATTTTAAGTTAATATTAAATTGACCCTTACACTGAAGATTGGTGAAATAAATAACAAGCAGTATTTAAACTGCAAATTATAAAATTGAAATTTAATCTACGATTAAAAAACAGATGTTTTGAATGTCGGAACTTGAATCGCATATACTAACCACGATGCAAATGCAGCCATTAATAAAAAATTGAAGTAGCAGTTTACAAATTCCAAGAAAATTGTTCGCCCAGTGGAACACTCCTTCAGGAATCTTTAAGAAATTCCTGTTTCCATTCAATGCTCTATCAGAACAACGCTTCCAACCGAAACGAAGCATTGTGCATCGTGTTCGCAATATGTATGCACGAACAGTTCCAATCTGCGCGATATTTTCGCTGTGAGATTCCTCGGCACGTAGAACGTGATCGAAAATGATAGCTCGAAGGGAAAAAAATAAGGTACGAGTGGAATGGCAACGGGGATAGAAAAGAAAATCGGTATGGGACATTTTTAAGCTTCGATATTCGCGTTTAGATGCTCGGGTGCATGTCGTTGCTCGCGAGCTGTGCATGCAAATGAACGGTTTCGGCTCGTTTCGGCGCCGTTGCGGTCACGCGTCCTCGTTGATGCATTTAACCTTTTGCGGACGATCAACGATGTAAGACGAAAAGACATAAGTTACATTTACAGAACGTTTAAATTTATGTTCGAATTAATAGAGCGACGGAATAACTCTGAATCGACTTTAGGGCTCTCGTACGTTGGACTGCTGGAGGCGTATACTTGACTGTGAGGACGAACGGATATCTCAGACGAATCGTAGTGAACCAATTTATGGAAGCACAATGGATCAAAATCAATTTCAACATTTTCTAAAAATATTTACATTGTTCAAAATTATAAGTTCGCTTCATTTTTAGCTAGCTTACTGGGTTCAGCAGAACGACGGACCAAATCTGAACTGACTTTAATTTTTTAAATTCATTAGATTATTATAGTCATCTGCACGTACTCTGTAAGACGTGCGATACTTCAAGTCATTGCAATGTTATTGCAATACGTATACCGTAAATTTTGTATGTCAAATAACGAACTTAAAAAAATTAAGTAAATTTAATGTAGATCCTGGTATTTTAATTCCGTCCTGCTGTATTTACAGTATAGAATTCAAATCCAAGCTTAAAAGGTTATGGTCCATATGTGGCGAAATATGAAAAATCCTTGTTTCCCTCGCGTTGCTTTGCAGGGAAGAGACAAGGACAGCAATAATTTTGACAGTATTAAATTTTCAGGCGAAGAAGCAATATTTTCCTACGCTTTCTTTTTCAAAATGTTCTTCGTGTAATTATGCAGAACCCCTTTTTGCAATTCGAATCTTAAAATTTTGTTAGAAATGAAAATATATTTTTATGACATTTTGAGAACCAAATTGCAAAATCAGGTTGTGTTCCGACTTGTATAATTATGCAGAGAATAGTTTGAAAATGAAAGCAAAAATATTGTTTTTTTTTTTTTTCTAGAAAATCTGGAGTCAGTAGAATTATTCTTGTCCTTGTCTTTTTTCACATGAGAGATACAGAAAGTCTTGGTTACACCATCAGATGTCCTTAATTCTATATAACAGATTATTATTTTTCTTTTTGAGATAAATTTTCAATAAATTTTTAATAATAATCAAATATCTGCTTTTATTGCAACGTAAATATACAACAGGGTAAAAAAATTATAATATTCAGTTTTAATATTGTCAATATGTTCTTCAGATATGAATATCAGGAACATAAAAATATTTATAAAATATAAAAATCAGAATATTAAATAAATGTAGATATCTGGAATATAAAAATATTCAACGTTCCAAAAACTAAAAACTATCAATGTGGGAAGAAGTTAATAAAAAACTAATCGAAAACTCAGTTAAAAGCATGACAATTCAAATATTCTAGTTAATGAACCGAAATTGAATAGTAACTAATTATTAAAAGCAGTTTCTGTTGTAAAAAT